TAAAAGGATTAAGGGTTTTTGTCTGCACTACCCATTTAATGACAATGCCATTAATCAAGACATAGAAAACTGATGAAAAAAGATCTGAGAGAAAAGTCAAAAGAAAAGTCTGGCTAATTTAGATTTGTGAAAATTATTAAACATGCAAGAGGAACTTAACTGAACATGGGAGAAACACTTGAGAGTAATTAATATTTACAAGATAATGAAGGCTAAGGAAATGGATATGCTCAAATAGAGCAAGGTACTACTATAGACAGAGAAAGAGAAAGATTCAGTACAAGGAAAAGGAAGACTTCAGCATTTAGAAAGAAGAACTATTATAAGAGAGAAAAAGAGGCTAAGAAAGTAGAAAAAACAGAGAAACTTACTACAAAACATATCAAAGAGGTCAAATAACATGAAGACTAAGAAATAATCACAGGATAATGTATGAAAGCCACTGCTTCCAGTGACATGAACCATATCAAGGGAAGTGCAAGCATAAAAACTAGTTTGGAATAACAGTAGATTTAAGACTAAATGGGGTGCTGGCACTGTGGCACAGCAGGTAAAGCTGCCACCTGCAGTGCTGGCATCCCATATGAGTGCTGGTTCAAATCCTGGCTGCTCCACTTCCGATCCAGCTCTCTGCTATGGCCTGGGAAAGCAGTAGAAGATGGCCCAGGTCCTTGGGCCCCTGCACCCACGTGGGAGACCTGGAAGAAGCTCCTGGCTCCTGGTTTTGGATAGGCACAGCTCCAGCTGTTGCAGCCAACTGGGGAGTGAACCAGTGGATGGAAGATCTCTCTCTCTCTCTCTCTCAGTCTCTTTCTCTCTCTAACTCTGAATTCAAATAAATAAATAAACGTTTCAAAAAAAACTTAATGGGAGTTCAGGTACATAAAGAAGGTTTAATAACTAGAAGTTAATTATTGAAATTCATCAAATTAATAAAAATATATAATCGCCATAATCTTCTCAAGCAATGTAGAACTGCATTTGATAAAATTCAGCATCTGTTTATGATAAATAAAATTCTTAAAACTAGAAATAGTTCTTTGACTTAAAAATCTACAAAAAGTAGTCTTTAGTAAATCTCATACCTGTTAAAAGCATTATCGTGAGAGCAGGAATACGACGTATAACCACAATTAAAACTTCAACACTATACAAGAAGTGTGATGATACAATAAAACAAGAAGAAGGATAAATAATAGAAAGGAAAAGACAAAACCCATCATTTTTGATGATATTATTGTCTACAAAGAGAATTCTGAAAAATCTATAGACTACCAGAATTAACAGAGGAAAAGCAACATTTGTATGTACCACTTGAATTTAAATACCAATTATGTTTCTATACACCTATGACAAATTTGAAATTGGAACTTTGAAAGCATAACATAAAAAATATTTAAAAATTTTTTTTAAATCCCTCAATTAAATTATCAAAAGATAAATATCTCATCTTTTTAAATGAGCAAATATGTGAAGACATTTTTCCAAAGAAGATACATCAATAAATACCCCAAATGCACATGAAAACAGGCAGTAAGCACATGAAAAGCATTCAACATAGTTAGTCATCACAGAAATGCATATTTTAAAAAACATGCCATTTCACATCTACTAGAAGACTAGGATCAAAAAAGATAGGCAAAATTAATGCATTAAGGATTGGAAAAATTGGAACCCTCAAATTCTGTTAGCAGGAATGTAAACTGACGGATTTTGGGAAGCACTGGCAGTTCCTCATATGGTTAAACATAGAACTCAGAACTGCTTAGTAGCATCCATTCAAGAGCAATGAAAACCCATTGTTAATAAAAACCTTGTACATGAATACTAATAACAGCACTGTTCATAATAACCAGAAGATAGAAACAAGACAAATGTCTGTCAAGCTATGAGTTTGTTTTTTTTTTTTTTTTTTTTTTTTTTTTTTTTTTTTTCGACAAGGCAGAGTGGGACAGGTGAGAGAGAGAGACAGAGAAGAGAAAGGGTCTTTCCTTTTTGCCCGTTGGTTCACCCTCAATGGCCGCGCTGCAGCCGCGAACGTGCTGATCGATGCAGAGCAGGATCCAGGTGCTTTTCCTGGTCTCCCATGGGGTGCAGGGCCCAAGCACCTGGGCCATCCTCCACTGCACTCCCTGGCCATAGCAGAGAGCTGGCCTGGAAGAGGGGCAACCGGGACAGAATCCGGCACCCCGACCGGGACTAGAACCCGGTGTGCCGGCGCCGCAAGGTGGAGGATTAGCCTATTGAGCTACGGCGCCGGCCCAAGCTATGAGTTTTTAATAGATAAAATCTAGTATAAACATGCAATATTATTCAACCATAAGGAATAAAGTTTTGCTATTTGCTATAACATGGATGAAGCTTGAAATCTTGATTATGCAAAATTATACAAAGCAAAATAAGCCATATATAAAATAAAAATAATTAAGTGAGTCCACTTACATGAAAAATCTAGAATAGGCAAAGTCTTAGAGACATAGATGTAAATTACAGGCTGCCTACCTGTGGGTATCTTGAAGGTTTATAAGGATAATTGGTAAAGGCCATGAACAAGGCATTTCTCAAGAGAAACAAGACAATGTAAAATATGTGTGTTCTGTGTGTTTGTATGTACATAAGTGTGTATGTTTAACCTCATTCAAAATACTGAAAAAATACAAATTAATACACCAATGGGATACAATAAGAAATATTCAAATGTTCAAAGAAAACTTGTATTATAATAATAAATTTCAAAATATTTACAGAAAAATAAATTTATCTTTTAATTCCATTTTCCTTCTTTTTGACAGCCTTTGCACCCACTATATTGACAGTATAATTTAAAGGATGTTAACTATTCAAGTACTCTTGAGAAAGAAAAAGAAAATATATCTTTCTGTTTTGAAATTTTTAAACAATATCTTTAAGTTTTAAGTGTAAAAGAATTCTGACTTTATAATTATACTGAAAAATCAGTACACAGATGAAAAAGCATCCTGAAAATTCATCTGCCATACTCATTAATCTAACAAAGGCATTTCATAATATCTACTTAATACAGAATACAGCATATCATATAACTCCTAAAAATAATTCAAAACACTTTAAATGTATGAAAACAGCATTCCTCCTCTAAGTAAATAAACTAGTAGTTGGGGCAGGGGCTCTGGCATAGCAGGTGAAGCGCTGCCTGCAGTGCTGGCATCCCATATGGACGCTAGTTTGAGTACCGGCTGCTCTAATTCTGATCCAACTCTCTGCTGTGGCCTGAGAAAGTAGCAGAAAATGGCCCAAGTCCTTGGGCCCCTGCACCCATGTGGGAGACCTGGAAGAAGCTCCTGGCTTCTGGCTTAGGACTTGCTCAGCTCTGGCCATTGTGGTCATTTGGGGAATGAACCAGAGGATGGAAAGTCTCCCTCTTTGCCTCTCCTCTCTGTGTGTAACTCTGACTTTAAAATAAATTTAAAAAAACTTAAAAAAATAAATAAACTACTGGGTCTTAATGAAGTTCTTAATGTTACAGGAGAAAAAAAGCTTCAATAAAGAAATTATACCAATGATGGATCTATCTGATAATCTACCATCCCGTAATCATCAATCATTAAACAAACATTAGCACTTGTTTCAAAGATCAGGTATACATATTTCAAATATTAAACAACTGAAGATGAAATGACAGGTACTTCCAAAAGTCTTCTCAGTTTTATTCCCCAAGGTAAAAATTATTTTATTCCTCTTATTTGATAGCTTATCTGTTTTTCTCAAGTGGTTTTCAGAGAAGCTGAGAATTAAAGAGTTAATTGATAAGAAGAGATTTGACAGTACTAATTGTGGGAGACAGATATGTCTTTGAAAAAATAATACTATTATTCATGAAATCTCACATTAACATTTAAAGAAATTATGTAACAAAGGTAAACTCTTGTGAAACATAATTAAATTTCAGCATTTATTATCATAAGAGTACAGTTTTAACATTAGCAAAGGAGGCTGGCATAAATGACACAAATTGGAAAAAATAAGCCCATCTAATTCTAATTAAATTGTTTAAATGACATATTAATTTTAGGGAGCTACTTGAGATATCTGAATATATAAAAAGCTGCAACAAGGAGCATCAAATCATGTTTCTGTTAGTACAAAATAAGGATCTGAAATAATTTAAAAATAAAGCAAAAACTAAAAAGTAAATCCACCTAAACTAAATATCACCATATTTTTTCCTATTTAAACATCTGATACTTTATTTGTTCATGTTAATGTAATATTAACATGAGACTCAATGTAGTTCATTGACACAATTCCAATATAATGATATTCCCTTCATCCCCACTCCTTCCCTATCATTCTCCCACCCTTCCTTCCTCCCTCTCCAGTTCTTTTTCTTTCCTTTCTTTTCTCATTTTTTTTTCTCTATCTTTGTCTCTTTTTCTCGCCATCTCTCTCTCCCTCTTTCTTTTTCCACTATAGTCAAGGGCTAATATTTCACTAAATATAAAGACTGTCATAAATAAAAAGACTATTTCAGCAGGAATATAGGCAAGGGCTATACAAACAATAATCAAATGTAAAGATAACCATTTTACCCATAAACAATAAATCTTAAAATAAACGCAGATCATTAAAACTACAGTAGCATTTTGACAAAGATTACACATAACTACATTTGTAGCAATATCAGCACACACAGGTATTTCTTTCCGTCTTTTTGAGTTTTTTTTTTCTTTCTAAATTCTAACTCCAATTAAATGATATCCCATATTTTAATTTTAGCTTCCATTAAAGGAGAACATGCAGTTGGTTTTTCTATTTCTGGATTATTTCACTAATTATACTTTTACTATCCACTTTTATTTCATGTCTGTACTTATGTATAAATGTATAATGGCTTGTGAATGAGCAAACATTAGGATTATCCAACTGTCGAACAGGGAAACGAGAAACAAAATGTAATTAGTGATTCTTAGTTGTCCAACTTTGAAAGATACATAATGAAATCATTAATATATGTCACTTACCTTTTCAAGTAAGTAGCCAATGACTAAAAAGCCTTTTCCACCCAGCATCTGTTCTTGCATGGCTACTGAGCTTTTAAGTAGTTCAACCAGGAATGCCAAAAGAGTAGCACTGCATGTAAAGTACAGATAATTTCATTATGCAACCATTAAATGTTTATTATAAACATAGTATTCCACTCTAGTATTTTATTATGAATAAGATAACAACCATAATTTACCTTATATTATACAATATATTTTCTCACAAGTATAAAAAGTTTTCCCCCTTTTCAACCATAACCATGTTTTTTTATTCCTCCATAAAATGGCAAGTTTATCTGTATATAAATGTGTATATATATATATATTTGTTCAATAAATTTAAGATAAGAAACACACACGTATGTCATTTTTCATAATAAAAACTTCTCATAATTATTTCTTGAATAACAACATTTTCTAGAGAATTTTTAAGTATGTATTTAATACTGCTTTAGATGAACACAACTTTTTTTTAAATAAAATGTTTCATTTAGACCTATTATTTAAAAAGACTTTGCTGAAATAAAATCCAGAGAAATATGCAACATGTCAGTTGTATCCAAGTATGCCCTCAAAAAAGTTCATGAGAGCAGGGGAAAAAAAAGATTTGTGTAATATTGAAATGAAAAGTGGCAATTAATTAGTGTATACACAGACACATAAAAGCACACAAAGATATGTTCCAAAGATTACACACTTGACATGGCTGTTGAATGAATGAATGAAGAAACAAAAGGAAAACCAATTAGCACATTGAATTAATGTTTGATAATGTATTACTGCACGAAGTTGCATGTGACAAATTTGACCAACAGCACTGATACATGAATACAGAGTCCCTAAAACTGAAATACATATTTCTTCATTGTATATCATTACTATAGTATACAATAAATTGCTAAAAATCATCTTTATTAGGAATTAAACTCTACTAACAATGTCTTTAATATAACTTAAATTACCTGGTTATAGTCAGAAGGGAAAAACCACAAATACAAGTATATTTTAAATGTAGACATACTCATTATTACAAGTTATTAAGAAAATTTGGTAATGAGGAAAATTTTAAAATTATTTAAGCCCAAAAGCAATCTTAAATTATTGTAGTCGGAATTAGTCTAACTCTTATGGTTTCAAAATGATTGACAACACATTTCTCTGATACTGAAGATATTTCTGTTCAAGTCAGAACTGTTCTCCTAAGAATTAATAGCAAAACTATCATTAGCATTATTAAAATTGATAGACTGAATACATAATGTCAGCTGAAAGTACACAGTATCAGGAAATAAAGTACTTCATTACAGGAAATTATGATTCTATTATTTTAACTGGATCTACATCTTTAAAACACAAAGAAATAAATTAACATTACAAACCAATAATATTCTTTTACTCTGTCCTTAAGTCAAAGGTAGATATTTACAAGAAAAACACAAAACACTGAAGAATCCCTTGGGAATTTTTAAAGTAATTCTCTAAAGAAGTACAGCTATTAAGCAATCTAGTCCATTTTAAATTAACTGAATCAAAGCCAAGTTCACTTCACAAATAACTGCTTAAGTAGTATATTACATATAACAATTCTGCCTAAATGTTTGAAATTACTAAAGAAAAATACCAGTCACAGATTACCCAATTTCCTAATCTGTTCATGGAATTCTTACCTACACCCAAGTTAGTGATTTAGGGAGGAAGTGGATTCCTAAACATCAGCACTGCCAAAAACAAAGACTATACATGTCTCACAATGGTCCCTATGGTCCATAAAAAAAATGCAACAAAGTATTTCTTACAATAAATCACCCTCTAATGCAGAACCACATAAAATTATAAGGACACCAGTTTTTAAATTCTTTCATGTCACAAGAACTACTGATTCTGAAATATCTAATGAATTAATTCAGACCTCTAAACAATGGCTAGTTCTATTACAAAAATGGAACTATTAATTTTATTAAATTATAAAATCTTAACATATGACCGCTGTTCAAAAAAGTAACTTCTCTTCAGTATTAACCATGACAACAATTTAAAAGTCATTCACTGATCAATTACTTTACACCTAAAACTCAATGCAATAGTAATACCACATCTTTAAAAAAAAGTGTTTAAAAAGTCTTTAAAATAAAGTATATTTGACATGGTGGACGTAATAGTAAATAGATGGCCATCTTCGAAGAGGTACATTTTCAAACATAATTTAACAAACTTACCAGTAACTAAAATGCATCGGATTGCTGCAGGGCTCACAATAAACTTGCAAAATTCTGTGTACTGCCATACAAAATTTCTCTCCATTCTTGCCTATTTCCAACTCCCCTAGATACAAAGGCAAATATAAAGGATACTTCAGCCCATTCCTATATCTCCTACATACCACTTCCTGTCTAGAACACATCAGTTCATCTGTAGAGGATCTAGGTTTATAGGATAAAGCAAAAAGCAAGTATCTGTGACAGCCAAACCTAATATACACAATATAGAAAATTCTCTTGAAAAGTATAGCAACCAAGGAATAGATTTTTAGAGGAATATTTTATTTAAAAGACAAAAAGTATGCTGATTATTAATCATTATATAAAACTGCTAAACTTTTCAACAGATAGTACTATAACATATCATGTTCTGTAAGAAGCAATTCTATTTCAGGAATAGTTAAGGGTTTATCTATTCTGTCTCCTTTTAAGGAAAAGGACATGGAAAATCTACAGGTATTATGGTTTTTCTTTTCAAAATAATTACTACCTGCCAATTCTTAATAAGCTTCAATTACACTTGGAAATGATATTTATTTCAAATATCATTTTTGAAAGGGCTAGAACTTAGGGAAATAATGAAACACTATAAAAATACTAAAATAACTTAGCATATTCATAATGTCTCCAGTGCTTCCTATTTCACATTAAGATATACCACAACAGTCTTGGCCCCAAATACCGATAATATATATTGATTATGAACAAATAGAACTAATTGTTTCTAATGAAAGTATATATACTACATTTTATTTCATTAAAATTTACAAGAATGTTTTGATATTTTACTATAACTTTATCTATTTTATATATTTAATTTTTTTAAAAAAGCCAATGTAAAATTTTCATGTAATAGGATCCTAAAATTTTATTATTTCTGAGATAATACTATTATTTAGAGATGCAATGTATCATAAAGATAAATCTAGTTTTAACTGAAATAAGAATGAATATACAGTATAACCTAAGTTCAGTTCAAAGGCAGCACTTAGAAGACAAAAACTGGATATTCAATTTGCTTTATATTAAAACAAGCAAATTACCATAACTAGCGTTGACTTTTAAAGTAAACATTTTCTATTAATAAGAATCAAACTAGCTTCTGGAAAAATTAAAGATTCCCCCTGAGATCTAATACTTCCTCCCACTTTAAAAGGAAGTCATCAATCTCTTGAGAAACATGGTAGGGAAAGTAATTGTCAGTAAAAATTCAGAAGTAGTTAACTTCCAATTAAGATTTAAGATATCAGTAAAATGGGGAAACTCTTTTGACCATTTTCAGAAGGTTTAACCTCGAAACCAGCCTATTTTAGTATTAAAATACACTGAAATATTTTAAAATATTAAAATTATATAAAATATCTAATTCTAGAGTTTCCATAGTATTTATCTCACTATAAAACCTTCCTAGATGGATGGAACAAAACTAAATGAAATCAACTCAAATGCATATTCAAGACAATGTCTGATGACAAAAAAAAAAAAAAACTCACAATTAAGAAGAATTAACTTCTCACAGTTCAAAATTACAAAGTCTAAACCCAAGCTTTCTCATTGCAGGCACATTTAACAGTTACTTTTAAACAAAATGCTCCTGAATTTGCCATCTTAAAGACCACTGACTAAGTATGCGATAAAAATTTTGACACCCACACTGTCAACACTCATCAATGCAGACATTAAGAGGAACTATAAGCCAAAGTAGGTAAGATACATTTATCTGTGGAGTCAAAAAAGAAAAACAGTGAAATGCAACACAATAAAATATAAGGACAGATGGAATAAAGAATAACACATAAAATCACTTAGCCTTCCCTTGGCAATGAAATCTCTCCTCAGTAATGTCTTTTTTTTTTTTTCAATATAATAAACAGGCAGCCACAACTATACACCGATTTGCCACCATTTTCATAGATATTTAATAATACACTCTATAGAACCTATTAAAAATTAAGTTGTAGTATTTATGTCTTCCTTTGTTTTGTAATAAATTTTCTCTTTATGTTTTAAGTGCCTACTTTATTTCTGAAAAAATAGCAAAAAATCCAAATCTAAAAAGTTGAGACTGAAACATGTCATGTTGTTGAAAAGAAACCAAATTTAAAATTGTACACTTAAAAAAATTAATTCTAAAATCCTATAATATGTTGTAATATAATGGTACATAGTATCTAACAGAATTTACATAGTTTTAAAACAAAACAGCCTTTACCAAAAACTGTCAAATATAAAAGAACTTTCAAAGCCTAATGTTTTTACAGTTTAACCCATCTGAGATACATCATCTCTTACAATGCACTATGTGTCCTAATCCCTTTACAACAACGTCTTGGACATGCTGCAACCAGAAGCCACCACTGTAACTATGGAAGAATGAATATTTTAGAAATGTACTGATGGAATTTCCAAACTGAAAGAGAACCTTAGAAATTCAAAACTGGAAAGAAAAAAAAAAATAACAGAAGTATATTGTAATTACATAGAGATGATCTTAGCTATTTATGCATACAATAACATCCATCAAGGTCAAAAATGTCATGGCAGGAAAGTCAAATGGCTAATCCTTCAGCCAAATCCTCAGTCTATCAGACAAAAGGAGAATTAATAGCATACCACAGAAATGATGAAATTGTCAAACACAAGAAAATAAACAGGAAAGCATGCAATTACTCTAAAAACAGAAACAGGTATTTGATACTTGTGTTAAGTTTTTATTATTTTAATTAATTATATTATTAAATTACCATTAATTGATAAACACAGATATTTTTTTTCCCTTCAGTTTGCCATTCTAAGAATGCTAACTGATTCAGAGCTCTCTCTTACTTAT